TAAATTATGGAAATACATTTCCTTAATTGGAGAAGGTTGTGCCTCTAACATAAGTTGTTCATCAATACTAACACACCGCAGTCCAGTCACAAGGCAAAATTCAGCAATTGAGAAGCGACATAATCTTCCATTTCTATTAAACCATATCTCTTGTTTGTTCGATTGATTGACTGCCCGTAACAAGACTTGATGGATCTATTGTGACTGAACAACTATCTCTTTGTAGTGCATGTAATAGGAAAAACATGTATGTTCAAGTATCTGCTTCTGTACATCATTAAATTTCATCACAAAGTTTGTGATGACATGCTGAATACAGTGACAGTTATCTTCCCAAGAAACCATTTGTTTGGTTTTATGAGGTATTTTCTTTCCTATACAAATCATCATACAACAAATTATTGTGACTTAAACATATCTAAACAACCTGACAACAAAATATACACACATGACATTTTATAATGGTCTGAACATGTAATAAACACCATGACTTTGAACCCCACAACATTTTATACCGGTCACATATTATCCAAAATAAGGTCACAAACGAATCATACAGGCCACAACAGTTGAATATATCACATACATGTCACAAAAGTTTAAAAATCATTAAGACCCTGACTCCAAACAAAACTGAAATAAGGTCACAAAGTTTAAAAATCATTACCGAGCAAATATTATCCAAAATAAGGTCACAAACAAATCATACAGGCCACAATAGTTGAATATATCACATACATGTCACAAAGTTTAAAAATCATTAACACATTGATTCCAAACAAAACTGAAATAAGGTCACAAAGTTTAAAAATCATTATAAATGTCAGAATAAAAAAGGTCACAAACAAGTCATAAAGTCACAATACTTGATCATTTTTTCCAAATTGGTGTCGTAATCAGTCTACTCATACACTACATTGCTAAATGTAAAACAAATGCACAACAAATACTGAAAGCATAAACACCAATTTCACCATTTTCGAAGATTTTCCACCCGAACTCGAAATTTTAAGCCTATTTCGAGAAGAAAATTCTGTAACCTCCTTCTTCCTTTTACCTTTGTCTCTTTCCTTTCTTTTATCCTCCACAGAATGAGTTAAAACCATTTTCAATAGTAGTAATTTCAGAAAATAAGAAAACTATGGACGATTTACGGTAACTCAAGTGATAGTGTAATAATGCTCAGTTTCAAGATGAACATAATGTTTCAACGAGAATATTCAAGATAATGAACAAAAATCATCGAATGAATAGTGGTGGCTCGGCTCGGCCCTTAATCTCACGAGCTCGGCTCGCGCTCGTGGCAAGCCGAGCTTGTGGCTCATGGGCCGAGCCGAGCTTTGGCTCGTGGGCTCGTCTATTTTTCTTTTTTTTTTAAGAGTTTTACAAAAAAATGAAATAATAAAAAACACTTTTAAAAAAAATAAAAAGTGTTAAAAAATACAAATAATTTAATGAAGACAATTTTTTATTTTTTTTATTTATATCATATTATAAATTTTTTTATAAAGTATAAAATATTTATATAATGAAGACGAATTATTTTTTGAAATAAATTTTCAAAAAAAAATATTTTTTTATTTCTTTTTAAAGTAGATAAAATGTAAACCCTCCTCCTTTATCCAGACTTGGGATCGGTTACATCAATTTTAAATAGGTGGAGTTAAAAATTGTACATGAACAACTTGTTGTAACGTGTACAATTTTTTTAAAGAAAATTAAATTTAACGATTAAAAAATAAAGAAATTTTGATTAATATAATTAAATCAAATATCACTTACCTGACGACATGCAATTTCAGCGTATTTATCCTGTAGTCGAAAATGAGCGGCCTGCCAATTCTTCACGCACATTAATGATTCCAAAACATCTTTTTCAGTCGGTTCCTGACATCGGTCAAAATACTTTTATCTGCCCTAAAAGTAGACTCCGAAATAACAGTACTAACCGAAGGTGTCAGCAGATTTTTCGCAATTGCAGAAACAATTGGCCAACGTCTTTCATACTTTTGCCAGAATTCAATTATTTCTTCTGAACTTTTTTAATTGTTCTGTCTGTTGGCATATTATGATTGAAGTAATCAATTAATTCGACATGCATTGCATTTTGAATTTCGATCGATATTTGATGAGATGCAAATGTAGACGACATGATACTAGATGAACACATTGCAGTTGCATCATATCTAAATAAATGAATGCCTTGAAATAAATTTATTATTTCGACATCATTTTCTTCAATTTCAGCAGAAGGAGTAGGTGTAGAGGGTACCCGACTAACATTCACACTCATTCTTTCAGCATATAAATCATACATTCCACATAATATTTGCTCTAAATTCTTATAGGTGATAGGTATATTAAGTATTAAAACTTTATTGATTTGATCAATTACATATTTAGTTCCTGAAATATTATATCGAGGGTCCATTGCGCATACTAGAAGAAATAACATAGGCAGTTCTTCCCAATATTTTCTAAACTTTAATTCCATAGCTTCACTAAAAGTAGGATCATTTTTATATTTATGGAATGTTCTTGCAATTATATAAAGGCGTTCAAGCACCATACAACTTGTTGGATAATAAACGCCGGATAAAATCTTTGTGGTATCATAAAAAGATGTCAAAAAACGTTTAACTTTCAAAGCTAAAATCCAATCGGATTCATTTAACATATCATTGTCATCACTTCTAACATGTCTATTGTTATAAAAGTCTGTTATTAAATTTTCGAAACCTTCACATGACTTTAATAGTAAGTAAGTAGAGTTCCATCTATGGCCTACGTCGCTAACAAATGTTTTAGCAGTCGTCACCCCTAGTTCGGCACAAAAATTTTCAAATACTTGTTTTCTACTAGGAGAGATTGTAATATATATTAATGCATTCCTAATCATTTGAAGTTCATCCTTTATATGTTTGAAGTTCATCTTTTATATGTTTTAAACCATCTTGCACAATTAAATTCAAGATATGACACACACAACGAATATGAAACAAATACCCACCAAAATTAGGTTGAAGTGTCCTACACAATTTATTGACGACTAGTTTATTAACACTAGCATTATCAAAAATAAAAGACCGAATTTTAGTTTCGCAATTATATTCTCTAACAATACTGATAATAGCATTATATATATTATTAGCATTGTGAGGAAATTCAATAAATCTAAAAGCAATAATTTTCTTATGCATGCACCAAAGTGGGTTTATACAGTGTGCGGTTGCAACTATAGATGCTCTTTTATTAACCCCTTCCCATATATCAGAAGTGAAAGATATAAACACCCCCATATTGTTGTAAATCCACAATTAATTGTTGTTTTGAATTATTGAAATATTGTATTGTATCGGCACGAAGAGTGTTTCGACTTACCCCAATGTACCTCGGTTGTCGATATTCTTTTACGAACGAGACGAAGTGTTGGTTGTCTGCAATAGCCAGAGGCAACTCAATGGCGGCAACAAAATTCACCATTTTGATTCGAGTATTGTCCTCCGAATACACCCACGTGGATATGGGTGAAGTTATAGAACTAGCGCCTGAACTGCCAAATTGCAATTGTGTTTGACCAGCTGGAAGAAGTTTATGTCTGGCCGCACATGTTTTGTAGTGACGGTTGGATGGGTGGTACCAATTTCTTTTTGTCATGCCAATCTTTGTTGGCAGTATTTACATACTGCTTTAGATTCTGTAAGGCTATTGACGACTTTTCCTGTTGAAATCAATTTAAAATGATCCCAATATTTTGTTTGTTTTTTGGCCTTTCGCTTTCCCCTCGCATTTGGGATGTTTAATTCGGCATCTTTGTCCTTATGTTTCGCTTCGAGAACGTTAATATCATCCAAATCAATTGGATTGTGGCTTCCTTGACCGTGAATGTGAACATCTTCAGGTATGGATATGTCATTTAGACCGGCAAATTCATTTGGAAATTGACTTTGCAACGTCTTAGGCGATTCGCCATGATGTGGCCCACATCCCGTATCGAATAAGCTCTCAACAAATGAGCGTTGATCCATTTGTTTGATTGTTTATGATGAAATCTAAATACAATAACTAGAAGAATATAAATGTAGTGAGATTGTGAGAATTTAATGAATTGAAATTGTAACTAATAAACTGCAAAAATTGAATTGATATTGTATATTTTGCTGCACAAGAGAGTAAAAACTCGATAATTGATATAATAAAAGAGAGTTGGAGATTTGGAGTAGATTGACTAATTGATATGAAAAAAATAAATGAGGGTGAAGGGGTATTTATAGTAGAAGGGTGAGGGGGAATTTAAAAAAAAAAAAAAAAAAATTCAGTGACCGGTCCAGTCACGGAAAACGGTCACTTTAATAGGGGCTCAAGACGAGCCACGAGCCGAGCGGATCGTGGTTCGTCGTTTGAACGAAAAAATAACGAGCCATGAGCCACTCGTGGGTGCCTCCCGGTGAGGCCCGCTCAGCTCGCGCTCAGGCTCGTGATTTTACGAGTCCGAGCCGCCCACGAGCCCTATTTTAACGACGGCTCAACCCTTTTGACATCCTTACCAGCGAATGGATAATACGGAAACTGTCGGGGTCGTGTAATGGTAGGGAGAGAGAGTGAGAGTGAGAGTGAGGGAGAGAGAGAATGTGTATCAGTTTGAGAGACGTGTTGGAACGGAGAGAAAATATCGTGGGTATGGAGGAGAGAGATAGAGAGTAACTGCCTATATTAATTTAAATATTTATAAATTATATATCCAAATTAAAACTTGATATTTGCAATTTAAATAACCCACTTTTTTTCTATTAATTAGTTTATAATTGTAGGTTTGTGATAATTTTCTCATTTTAAAAAGAATTGTCAAACAGGAGCTTAACAATTTTTACTTGCCGCCCGCCGCCCGCGAGAAAACAACTCTTTTGTCACTTTTGAAATAAATTGGTAAATTTCGAAAACTTCGAGGACAGAATTGGAATTTTCTTGGAAACTTCCCCGCGTAGTAATCACGGATACCTGTAACCTGAAACTTATTAACCAAATCCAGATGATGATAAAAAATCGAAACATTCATTGAGATCCCCAAACATTTCATAATTTCATATCGGACAATAATTTAACCCCTTACCTCACAATGAGCAGTCCACAGCTCTCAGCAGTAAGTATTAATTTACGTATTTTTATAGACATTAATGATGCGCGCATCAGATCTGAAAATTCGTTGTGATTGTTTTGTGTTTTGGTAATTATTGAGGAGTTTCGATGTAATCTTTTGTACTTTTTGGTTAGGGTACGATGACTCTGTATACTGGATTCACACGGCTGTGCAAGGGTATTGCAGTGGTATTAGTGGGTGGCCACATTGTTGTTCAGATTTTGCCCTCTGCTCTTTCTTACCTTGCTCTCATCCCTGCCAAGTACTCTTTTCTCTCTTAATTGTGTCATATTTTATTTTTATGTTGTTGATCGCCTAAATTTCTTGAGACGAATTGATGTGTTAATTGACTTATTTATTTGTAGTGGGGTTTCTTTAGAATTTATGATGGTGTAAATTCAGATATGAGCGGGTTATGAAGATCAAGAATTTACTGGTTATTTTCAACAAAAGTTTGTGGCATATATGCCATTAAAAAGAGTGGATTTACCATATATAGCGTATTTGGGAAAAGAGATTAAGACATGATTTGAGGCTTGACTATGCATTGCACGAAAGTTATGTCTCAATATAAATGAAAGTAGTTGGGAAAGTAATTGACTTCGTCCGCACAAAAGCACAAAACCCATAACTCTTTCTTTGACTGCCATTTTTTATCGGCTAACATCAGATCATTTGCAAGCAGAAGCCAACTAGAAAATTTCTCATAGGGAATCTGACCGCATCTGGGTCTTGAACTCTGATCAGTAAACCACATTTGTTCATCTATCTTTTCAGCTATCATAAGACTTGGTAATTTAGTGCATAGTGTTATGCAAGCCATTCAAATAGATTTAAAACCCAAAAGTGTGACTTATTATTTTATCTATTGGATTTACTGTAGGACCATACCTTTTGCTTGGAATCTCATTACAGCCGGATACACTGAACAATCAATATATGGGGTAAATTAGTCATTCTGCATTTATTGTTCACTCTACTCTGGAAACTTTGCTCCTCGGACCTCTCTTCCCTAATATTATACTTTTTATGCAGTTGTTTATCAGCACAATCGGTCTTCTTTTCGTCGGGAAGCTGCTTGAACCCATATGGGGTTCTAGGGAATTCTTGAAGTTCATCTTTTTTGTTAATTTTCTAACATCCGTATGTGTTTTCATCACAGCTATTGCCATGTATTACATTACGAAGCAGGAGATTTACCTGTAAGTAATACTTCTACATCTTCTGCAGCAAATTTATCCATTCTTTGGGCACCTGTATCCATTCTGGATTTGTCATTTGCTTCACTATAATGTTGTGAAGTTCTGAATGAATCTACTCTGTTCTTGGATCAACCTAATATTTAGACACTCCCAAGTAATTAGGCCTAGATGGGAGAACTGCTGACTTGCAGCAATTCTTTTAATGTTGCACCTGGAACTTATGGTCAGGAAGCGCAACATGAATAAAATTATATCAATCTAAAAAGTTCATGACACATAATATTGACGTTGGTTTCCAATATTTAGCCCCTATTTGAGCCCCATTCTTTAAAAATTCATTTTTTTTTCAAACTTATTTCGAATCATACATTCTCTCACGTAAGCCCAAAACTTTTCCCAACTTTTTATTCACACATTCTCCAAAAATAATCACTATTGCATAACCTAACTTTCCAAAAAATTGGGCTCAAACAATCCCTTAGCCATCTCTGTCATATCCTTGATTTTTGTCAATCATATGATTATTTTAACGTAACACCTGAAACTTATTGCCAGGAAACGCAACATGAATAAAATTTACATCAATCTAAGTTCATGGCACCTAATATTGACCTTGGTTTCCAATAGTATGACACATCTGACATATTCTTGTTTTTGTCAATCATATGATTAATGTAACACCTGGAACTCATGGTCAGGAAATGCAACATTAAAAAATTTAAGTCAAAAGAAGTTTGTATCACATGATGTTGAGCTCAGCTTCAAATTGTTAATCACCTTTTGGCATATCTTGGTTTTAGTTATCGCGTGCTGTTTATTTAGCTCTTGTTTGAGCCCCATTCTTTAGAAAAATGCATTCTTAAATAGTATTTTGACATCATTTCTACCATACATTTTTTAATAAAATAATAGTACATATAAATCCAAAACCTTTTTCCTATTTTTTAACCACATATTTTACATCAATACACTATTCAAAAATGCATTTTTATGACAAAAATGGGGCTCAAACAAGGGCTTAATATCCTCTTTTAATTTGTTGCAACATTGTCATCATATGCTTGTCAAAGGTGAACTTAAAAAAATTCTGGTTTCCTTATTATTGTTTGTTTTGCAGTTACATGCCTGTTGCTGGATTCCAAGGGGTCCTTTCAGGGTTCTTAGTTGGCATCAAGCAGATTGTGCCTGATCAAGACCTGTGGTTTTTGAAGATAAAGGCAAAAGTATGAACTTTTGATACTTTAGAATTTTAATATCTGCTCCAACATAGCATAAATTGTTAGTTTACATTCTTAGCTTCTAAACTCCAAGGAGCTAAGGGTGTGTTTGTTTTGCTATTTTCAAGCTCTTTTCAGTTTTTAGTTTTGCAAAATGCTAAAAACGTGTTTGGTTTCATATTTTTGAAAATACATTTTCGAAAACAAGGATAAATTTATAACATAAAACTTGAAACGCAAACATGGAAAAGAAGCGTTTGAATAAAATTTTATTTTAAATAAATTTTTAAAAATTATGAAAATATAAAACTCGAACATATAAAATTTTAAAATTTTAAAAAAAATATAATTGAAAAAATAAAATTGATAAATTCTAAAAACAAAATATTAGAATTAAAAAAAAAAGAAATCTAAAAAATAAAAATTATAAAAATGTCTAGAAAAACAAAAATTATAAAAAATAAAATAGTTCAAGCTCTTAATAATTATTTACATAAAACTCTAAAAATATATTTAAATGAAGACAATAAAAATATTCTGAATCTATGTCATTATTTTTTTTCTTATTTTCTATATTTGAACTCAATTTATTATTTATTTTTATTTTACTTTTGTAATGTGCAAAAATATTGTAAGATTCATCAATTTCAATATATATATTATTTATTTTTACTGAATAATCAAAATTCATGAAATAAAATATTGTAAAACAATTTTTTAAAGTTTTAAACTAAGTATGTGTTTGAGCCACATTATTTGTAAAGAATGTATTTTAGAATAATAGATTGATGGAGAATGTGTAATTGAAAAATAAGGAAAAATTTTAGATTTGCGTGTAATATTATTTTATTTTTTTATGACCGTGGGTGTATGAATTAGCTTACGCGCACCTCGACTAATATCATGGGCCTCGAAATTTAGAGTTGGGTACTTACCTCAGCGGTCCTGAGGGGACTCGAACTGGTGACCATTGAAAAACAAACCCAAGGCCTGACTATTGAGTTGCCCCTCAAGATTTGTAATATTTAATTTATTGAAAAATGTATGATTGAAATGATGTCAAATCGCTAATTAAGAATGTTATTTTTTTCAAAGAATGCGGCTCAAAGAGGGTCTAAATGTGTTTTCTAGTTTTCTATTTGGAGAAATAGTTTTTCAAAATTACAAACCAAACGAGTTTTTAACTATATTAAAATAGACTCTCAAAGTAGAAAACTAAAAATGAATTCAAAACTCAAAATTGAAAAGTGAAACACAAACCTGACGGGCCCTAAGTATTTTCTTATGTTTTCTCATTGTTGCTTATTTCAACTCTTTCAGTGGTTGCCTTCTCTTGCACTACTGGTGTCCATCATTGTAAGCATTTTCACCACAGAATCGGCATCTTATCTTCCCACCATGATATATGGTACCTTTATAGGTTGGATTTACCTCAGATATTGGCAAAGAAAGCCAGAAACAAAACTAAGAGGCGATCCAAGTGATGAATTTTCTTTTTCTACCTTTTTCCCTGAATTTTGCAGGTAGTTTCTGCTATTTTTATTCTCTGATTTATTAAGTTTTTCTGCCTGTTGTCTTTCACATCTCCATTTCAACATTTCATCTTGGTTGATGGTGTTTAGGCCTGTTATTAATCCAATTGCAACAATATTTGAGCGAATGCTTTGTGGAAGACGATCTGAAATCTCTGATGAGTCTGGGGGCTATACTTTAGGAGGCACCACATTGCCTGGATCAGATCCCATTGAAGCATCTAGGAGGAGGTAAACTTTCTGGTTAATTTTCATTTAAGACTTGCATTCCTTTAATCCTATTCAGTAATATACACTTAACTATTCAGAGCAAGATAGTTTAAAATTATTTACAAGGCTACATCATTGAAGTTTCAAAAAAATGCTGTTGCCTAGGGGTATAAGTATGGGGCTTCTATGAATTTAGGAAATTTTTAACTTTTTCAAGGGGAAGACCTGAATTATATCGTTAATCGTCTTCATGGATATGTTAATCGTAGCTATGAAAGAGTTTGGATGGGGTGCCACTATTATATTTGACAATCTAGTTTTTATTTGATTTTTTTTTTCTCTGTCATTTGGCTTGGAAACAAGATTTAACAGCAAGAGGATGGATTTCTTGATTAATAGTTGTTTTCTTTTCTTTTGGTTGCTTGTTTCACAAATCATGTAGTGAGGTTGTGAATTTTTTATTAAAGAGACTAGAGTTGTTAGTGCCAAATACTTTCTACTCGGTTAAGATATGTGAAGCTCTTAATCGGAGATTGAATTGTAGATAGCGTGAAATTCGAATGGATGAGATTCAAATTATGGTTTGGTGGTAAGTGAGAGTAAGATTAAGAAATATTAGGGATTTAGAGAAGAATTTTTTAAGGATTTCCCTGCAATTAAAATGAAGAAAGATAAGTAACTATGGAGATTGGAGTTATTAAATAGATTTGGTGATGCGGTCGAGAAAACAGAGTGAGAATTCTGGATTAGGGATTTTAATGAAGGAGATAAAACCACTGAATGGGAAAAGGAAACGACTGAAGGAGGGGGGCCTGACTGAGTGCTACAGTGTTGGTTTTCTGGAAAATGGTCTGGTTTTAAGACATTTGTTTCATCTACTGATTTTGGGTTGTCGATTATTGTAGAACTTGTGAACCTTTTGTTTTCTTACATGAATAGGCTGCCACTTAGGGTCCCAAATCTATTTATTTATCAAAACAACGAAAGAGCACAGGATGATCAGACATATGACCACCCATTTGAAGGGGTTAACTGTCGTATTTTGTAGCATTTGAATTTCAACATAATGGATGGAGCTATGTTATGGCAATACAAAAACTATTCCTCAAAGTTTGATAGCTCCAAGATGCGTGTATTGACTTAATCTAATTGTGTTGCGCTGTTGTCACAAAATTGCAGGGAAAGAGGTGCTCGAGCACTTGAAGAAAGATTGACAGCTGAGAGACTTGCTGCAGCAGGAAAGACAGACGAGACACAAAAAGATGCCACCGAGAATGTGTAGAAGCTCTTGTATTGTGAATGTTATATGCTCACAACTACCAGATCCATGTCTTGTTACAAGTCTGTGCACTATTTGTTAATATATACTTTTGTTCAAAGGGAATTTTGGCATATGTTGATTATCATGATCTTTATTTCAATGACAGAGAAGAAACTAATATGCGGGGACATAAAATTACTGTTATTTGCCTTGTGCTTCTTGTCTACTTCCCTCTTAAATCGAGAGAACAGTTGTTTTTACAAGCAGTTAATGATAAGAGGTGTAACCTTACATGGCTGATTTTGGCTGACAATTTGTGCCGTGCTGACCTTACTGTCCAATACAATTTTTTGGCAAGTAGGGGTATACATGATTCCATACGGTTTTGATTCCAAAAGAACCAAATCTAACCATGAACCAACAATTTTATTGATAATGGAACAAAAGGGTTTTTTTAAAGATATGAAACCAAATTGAATCGAACCGTTCGGTTCCGATTTTGTTTGGTTTGGTTCTAATTTCATTTCTTAAATTTTTAGATCTGCATCATATAAATTAGTAATGTATACTTAAATAAGAATTTAAATATCAAACATTTAGAAAGTTCAAATTTCAATCATCGAGATCAAAACAGTCATAACTAACAAACAAAATATATTCATAATTTGAATATACAAATCAGTTTTCGTTTTCACACAAAAAAGGGTTTAATAAATAATATCAATGATTCATTAAATTAATTGCAGTAGTTTTGAAGGCACACTCCTGCAATAAAGAATGAATTATCAAAATTTTTACAGTCCACTCCTGTAAGCAATATTAATCGTTTAATATTTCATGAATGTTTATTGGGTTCTCCTCTATTTGTGAAAACACAAATAACCTATCAAACAATCAAGATAAAAAAAGAGCTTAGAGACTTTTTAAGTAATTGACCAATGTCATTTTTCAATCTTAAATGACACTCCACCGACTTGATTCGGTACAACTATGTTGGGACGTTGTGTAAATTGAAAATGAGTGAAGGAGAAATAATTCAATTGAATACAAAATTAGAGTGTAGACAACTAATGAGTTGTTTATCTCTAATGACCCGAAATTGATTAATAAATTGTATTCAATCAATGTGCTATCTCCAATGAATATAAAATTAGGATCTCCACTAATTATTATATATAAAATTAAATATTAAATTTGGTTCTAGTTTTTAAACTAGAATTGAACCAGAACCAAAATCAAAACCAAATGGTTCTTGATTCAAAGAATCAAAATCATTAATTTTTTTGATAGAACCTAACCTAACCACTTGATTTGATTGGGTCTGGTCTGGACATTTTGTTCATCCCTATTGGCACGTCAGTCCCCTTGGGACAAGTTCTTACTGGTCAGTTCACCTAAGCCATTTTGACACCTCTAATTTGAAATGGCACAGTAGAGATGACCTTTTGATAAGGTGTGTTTTAGATCACTATTCATGATTCAATTTAAAATGGTGCGATTTAATGGTTGAAATGAATTTATGCCAAAAGATGCGATCGTTAAGAAGAGACACACAAGAAAATATGTAAATAGGATTTTCCAATTTATTTATTTTTCACTTCAATATAATTGATTTCTAATTCTTTTCTTCTTCAAATAATGTCAATTTTATGTTCGATATTTAGTATTCGACATCTTCCATTTTACAAGAATAAGTCAAGTGCTGGTTCATTCAACAAAATTAATATCGTTCTATATTAATTTTTGAATAAGCATATCATATCTTGGAAAATGTCCATTTGATAATGTTAGCACTAGTGTGTAGGGGGTGAAATCTATATTAAAGAGATTTACATTCACATGCTTCATTTCATTTAATCTCTTTTTGCATTTTCTACAATCTAGCAAGTAATGATTTACTCATTATAATGAATGTACCATGATTTTAGGAAGTTGTAATTCTAAGTATTTGGACGTAAAGGTTAGCTGTTGAATATAATTTATACACCAATTATTCGACATTTTTATGGCACCACATTACCTCAAAACAAGCATGACAAGATTATATTTGATCGAGCTCGATTACTTGAAAACTTCCACTTCAAAACATTAATAACTCAAAAATCTTAACATTACATATCAGCCTCGATTTATATATCTGTCCACGGTGTCCAGCCTATAGGGGTGCCACATTGCCTCCTGTTTGGACAGGCGTATGTGGCCTTGTTCAACAAAAATAATCCATATATTTGCCCGGATATAGACGTATTCATATGGTTTTGTTAACAATTTGCCATCAGAATTAAGCATGGACCTTGCTACTTGTACAGGGTATATGTACAAGCTGCATTACAAGGTCCTATGTGCATTTTTGTTTTTAAAAAAAAGCATTAGACTTATCATCACACAGCACCTGTGCAGATATTATGCACCTGTAATGCATTCTGCAAAGCCCCCCGCACAAATAGCTTTATCCAAAGAAAATAGACCTGTGCTAGACGGATAGGGCCACCCATCCAGGGCGCCAATGTGGCGCCCTGTATAGGGGAGGTGCTCGTCGGGCATATGGGGGGCCACATCGCCCCTGCTCTAAAGGTTTTTCCAAGAAAATATGCTTTTTGCAAGAAGGAAGGAGAACAAAAGAATGGAAGGAGAGACAATTTACATAAATTGATCTAGCTTAAAAGGGACTTAAGATAGAAGAGGTAATGTGATAAATGATTAAATGGAGATAGATGTGGACTAACATCCTTTAACCAATACAACTCCATACACCGTGTTCGAAAGCATATCAATAGCGAATGCTATGGTGCTCTTCATGCAGGTGCATACGGATCTATATGGACACATACAGATCTGGACAGATATCATACAAATACATATAGATACACAAAGATTCGGTGGCATACGGATCCATACAGATTAGGACAGATTCATACAAATACATACGGATCCATACAGATTAGGACAGATTCATACAAATCAGGTGGCAATGGTTGTAATGGTGATGGTGACGGGGACGGTGGCGATTTGGTGGCGGGTAAGTGGGTTGGGGAAGAAAAAGAAGATGAAGTTGTTCATTTCTTTTTTTTTTCTTATTTAAATATTTTATGCTGGACAATATAAATTTATCTATTTATCCTTTTTTTTGGCAAAATAACTTTTTTGGTCAATTAACGAATTTGTAGACGGAAACAGTCTATATGTCCTTTGGTCATTACAAATAAAAGATTTAGGACTTTGGGTGTAACAAATGAAAGGTTAATGTAAAAGTTAAAAAAATTTGAAAAGTTTGGAGCTGTGGTTGCAATTATCCCATTAGTAAATTGGGATTTTAAAAAATACACCTTGAATTATTTAAATGGTATTTTAATATCATTAGCACCAAAATTGGTTTCCAAAAGGTATTAAATAGATAAATAATCGATATTTATTGAACAAATAAAATAAAGAGCTATGTTTAAATTTAAAGATGTTCTTGATTATATACAAAATGATCTTGAAAAGTAAAGAGTAGATTAGAAGTGTTTTAATAGAACCGCTATGCATGAGAAACATGTATTATTTTAGACGTCTTAATATAACAACCATCAGTCATGAAAGAAGCCATTGACATGAACAAACAATTTACCATGCAAAAAAAGTGTATTTGCTTCAACAGTTGAGGTGCCAATCATTCCACTGTTGTGCTATATGTATATAATGGTTTACATTACACATAATATGGTGAGATATGATTGAGTCAGAATTTCTTTAACCAAATAAAAAGAAAAAACTTCATATTTTCTTTTTGAGACCTCATCCGTATGTAAACAATTATGTAACTCCTTCTGTATAAGTAACATTCTCCCCATCTCAATAGAGCCCATCGCTGATTCGTCGAAGCATGTATCAACACAATACTCCAAATGAGGTAGCCTATTCCCAAAGATAATTATGTTTGTCGAGGTCTTGACACTAAGCTCCTGTTTGTCTCCATTTAAAACAAAACCCTTAAATTCTCATACTCAATTTTAACTACACATTAATTTAATAAAATATTTTGCACATAAATTCAAAATTTTTCTTATAACACATTGTTAAAAAATTTACTATTCAAAACATTTTTTTTTCCAATAATGGCAATTAAACAGGGCTTAGTTAGTAGTCTTGGTTGAGCCGAATTAAGGAAGAGACGACTATGTTTGAATCATTTAAGTTCATTTAGAATAAGAGATCGTGTTCGAAATATTAAGGTTTGGATTGAATAGCCATACTTCAATCGATTACCATTCAACGACTTTGTAAATATATTAGCAATTTAGTCTCTCGTCTTCACAAATGGTGTACAAATATCACCACTCACTATTTTGTCCCAGATAAAGTGATAGTCAACTTCAATATGTTTGGTCCTCTCATGAAAAACTGGATTTGATGCAATAAGTAGAGCAACTTGATTGTCTCAAAATATTGGAATAGGAGTGGAAGGTGAAAGATTGATTTCTTGAAGAAAGTGTTGCAACCATGTCAACTCACTAGTAGTATGAGCCATCGCCCTATATTCTGCTTCTGTACTTGATCTTGCTACTAAAATTTGTTTTTTTACTTTTTTCAAGAAACAAGATTATCACTAAGAAAAGTACAGAAACCAGTAGTGGATCATCTGTCTAACGGTGATCCTGCGCAATCTACGTCTGTAAACTCTTCTATTCTGATATGTCAATTCAGTTTATACAATAATCCAAGACCTGAAGCCTTTTTTAAATACCAAATAATACATATCACAACTTCCCAATGAGGAACCCGAAGAGCATCCAAGAACTGATTAATAACGCTAACTGTATAGGAAATATTTGGTCTCGTAATGATAAGATAATTTAATTTTCCAACTAAACGACGATATTTTTCTGGTTCTCCAAATAATTCTCCTTCATCCTTCAAAAGCTTCACATTGGGAGTAATGGGAGTATCAATTGGCCGAGTTCCAACGAAATATGTTTTATCTAATAGATCAAGTACATATTTTCTTTGAGATAAATTAATACCTGCTTGTGATCGAGCGACTTCAATACCCAAGAAATATCGGTTTTGTTCTAAAAATGTTTTTGTAGAAACTGTTTTAGTGCTTGTTTGGTAGGAATTTTGATAATTGATTTTTTGACCGTTAGAGATAAAGTGGGTCCTACTTGTGAGAGAAGAATTCAAAAATAATGGCTGGAATAGTAAAACAACGGTCAAAAATTGATTTTAATTGACTTTTAAACTGTACCAAATAAGCTCTTAACCAGGCAATTCCATCTGCATCATCACCAGTGATTACAATATCATCTACA